CATTTATATCTAAATAATTGATGTAATTGATTTAATGGCACAATAATTTATTTGTCAAACTTCTTTTTGACCCTATAATTTATTTTAATACGCCAGTTATATATTTATACATTTATTTCCAATAATGATAGGTTTGGTCCTCCATAGGGATACACTTTAACATCTAAGCTGACATTTGTGTTTCTATTTAAGTGTGGTTAACAACTAAGAAGTTAAAAGCTTTTTATTGTTGTTCCCAAAACTTTTTGTAGGAAATGAATTGTTCACAATCAAGTGTACTCCAGTGATTCTGTATGATTTGTAAAATAAATGATCACAATATTTATGGATCAAATCAACATTCACTGAGAGTTACTTCTTGTGTGTCCATTCATTTTGCACTAGAGGAATGTTTACGCAAAATAAAAGAGATCCCTTGCTAAATAAATTACTCTTATAACTTTGTTATAAGAAGTGTAAGACTGAACCCTTACATAACATTTGAATACTGTTAAAAAACAAATGTGGTTGGAAACAGATGAGTAATTAACACTTTCTGACATGTTCCTCTCCTGCAGTGCCTGCAACAGCTCCAGGCCCGGGTTCTATCGCAGTCTGAACGTGTCCATGTCTGTTGACCATAAAAACATCAGGAACTATGAGAACACCTCCCTCTTCTACGTTTCTTCCTTCCAGTACCTGGTGGTGGCCATCGTTTTCTCCAAGGGGAGGCCCTTCAGGCAGCCCCGATACAAAAACTGTAAGACTTTTCCAGAAATACTGTACACAGTGTAGCTGTGAATGTGTGGCTTTAAAGGAACACTTCAGTGGTGTTGAAGTAATGTTCTGTGTAAAAGGATGGCTTTATGAACATGCTCAGTTTGAACTGATGAGCTAACGGCTGGTCTGAGCTCAGCTAACGCGAAACCTAATTGCTTTSTTTATATATGAGCTTCAGTCTTAAGTAATTTTTTAGCAGTTCATGCAAGCATAATTCACAGACCTTTGAAGGTTTTCTTAGCATGTCCCAGTGGGAGGAGACCCAGAACTCTCCAGAAGTACTATATACTGTATATATATGTCTGTACCACACACGTCTTACATCACCAAGTGCCAAATAACCAGCAAAAGTTTATCTGATGAATAATTCCACACGATTCTGCCCAACCCTTTGACAACATATGATAACACTGATTATTATACACAAAGATGAAAAATGTAGAAACCTCACAGAACGACAACGTAAAAAGTGGATTTTGCGGTCGGGAGGAACAGAATGCCGGCGTCTGCAGGCAGTGGTCACTACTAGCTGCTAACGTGTTATAGAGGTTATGTTTATAATGATCGTTTATTTAATAGTGAGTTTTAAGTTACTGGTGGTTTTATGTGGACCTCATCTGGACTTTAGGTTGCCCTAGTTCTGTGTCATTAGCTGCTGGAAGTTTGTTGACATTAGCGGCTACTGTTAGCATGATCGTAACATAATACAATATCAGAAAAAACACACCCTGGGGAAAAAAAACAAACGATAATCATCGTGGAGCTGTTTGGTACAGAGGTTGTGGATCCACCCACTGAATAAAAAGCTCTACACCTCCCGTTGTTTGCCGGCTTTCATCAGCTGTTCAGTGTAGTTAGCACACAGTTAGCGCTGCGGCACCGTCTGCCCCGGTAGACCGGTAATGGGACTGTAGAGTCCACTCGGTGCTTCTTCTCTTGCCTCTTATAATCGAAATAGTGAATCACCTACTTCCCCATCAAAGTCCTCAC